TCCTGCAACAGACGGTGCGTGAGCGGGGATCGGAGGTGGCAATCCTCAGCGAGCCCTATAGGGCTCCCAGCTGCAGCAACTGGGCCACAGACCGCTCGGGCAGAGCAGCGTTGTGGACATGCGGAGTGGAGACGCCCCAGATCGGCGACATAAAGTCGGCCGAGGGGTTCGTTCGAGGCAAAGTAGGCGGGATGTGGGTCTATAGTTGCTACCTGGCGCCCAGCCTCCCGCTGGAGACCTTCAGCCGCATCATAGACGAGCTGATCGGAGACCTGCGAGGACGAAGCGTCGTCGTGGTCGGGGGCGACTTCAATGCCTGGGCCCAGGAGTGGGGGTCCTCCCGAACCAACGCTAGAGGACGCACGGTGCTGGAGGCCTTCGCCACCTTGGACATGGTGCTGCTCAATGAAGGACACCAACAAACGTTCAGCAGGGGAGGCATGGGGTCAGTCATCGACCTCACATTCGCCAGCAGAGCGTTGGCCAGAACCGCTTGTTGGAAAATCAGCAACGCCTACACCGCTAGCGACCACGAGGCCATCGAGTGCGTGTTTGGCGAACCGAACCCAGGAAGAGCAGCCCCTACTCAGACCCAGAATAGGAAGGCGTATCGGCAGGCCACGCTGATGACACAGGCCTTCGCAAGCGCCCTCCGTACCCACACGGCACCAGAGACCGGTGGAGCCAACGAGTGGGCGACACAGCTGGGGGAGGCAGTGGAAGCGGCTTGCGACCAGAGCATGCTACAGCGAAGTGCGTTTGGGAAACACCATGCCCCAGTCTTCTGGTGGAAAGAGGACATCGCCGAGCTCCGCAAAATCTGCCACAGAGCGAGAAGACAGCTCCAACGAGCCAGGGGAACTCCGCGTCTAGTGACTTGCTGCGAGGCATACAAAGTCGCGCGGAAGGAGTTGAAGACCGCCATCAGAGACAGCAAAAGAGAGTGCTTCCTCAAGCTGTGCGACGCCGCAGAGGAGGACCCCTGGTGAGGCGCCTACAAGATGCACCATTTCTTGTAGTTGCGGCCTTCGTCTCGGGGCTGTCTGGGTCATCACGACCTCCCCTATCAATCCTGGAACAAGGGCGTTCCCGCCGGGTATTGTTGTAGGGGCTCGGGTCTCGTGTCGGACCTGCTGTAGGCGCTCCAGTGCCTCCTTCTCCACGACGCCCGTCCGTCTCTGGACTTCCCCAAGAAGGCACCGGCGCCGGACGCAATTCCCAACCGAGCGACGAAGCTGGCACTAGCGCTGATCCCAAGCGAGGTCATGGGTCTGTTCAACAGATGCCTACACGAGGGTACGTTCCCATCGAGGTGGAAGAGGCAACGGCTCCTTTTGCTGTCCAAGCCGGGCAAGCCGCCGGGCGAGGCATCCTCGTACAGGCCCATCTGCCTCCTGGACACGATAGGGAAGGTCTTTGAGAAGGTGATCGCCACGAGGCTGAGCGCAGCCATCGAAGCAGCAGGCGGCCTCTACCCGGAGCAATACGGGTTCAGGAAGGGGAAGTCGACGCTGGACGCCATCTCCAAGGTGGTCAAAACGGCAGAGGAAGCATGCGCTGGTTCCAGATGGAGAGGAGGATCCAAATCCTACTGTCTCGTGGTGACACTTGACATAAGGAACGCCTTTAACTCGGCAGATTGGAGCCGCACGCTAGAGGCCCTACAGCGGTTCAACATCCCTGGTTACCTACAGAGGATAGCGCGTAGCTACTTCAGC